TATTTTATTTAAAAAATACTAAATACAATTAAATTTTCCAGGCAAATTTGCCTGGAATACAGTTTAAGGGATAATAATCAAAATATACAGACTAGCTATCAAGAACTACCAAAGACAAGAACTAACTATCTCTATACTTTAGAGAAAATAGAGAAGTTTAAATATCTTTTTTTAGAATATTAAATTACTATAGAAATATAGTAATTTATTAAGAAAGAGTATTTTTTATTAACAGAAAAACATTTGTTCTATAGAAAAAGCATTTTTTAATATTAGATAAGCACTTTCAGATAGTGAATAGACATCTTAGAATAATTAAAATAATATATTAGATATTTTTATTAAGAAATAAATGCTTTTTATTATAGAATAGATATTTATTACTATAGTATTAGCATAAGCACTTTTTAATACAATAAAAGCACTTTTGTCAAATTAGATTTGTTTGGTTTTGTTTATAATTAATATTGTTGTTATATCATTCTGGACTGTTCTGAGATACTATTTGTGCTCATATATCTTGGTTTGGGTTTTGTTTATATTAAACAAATTAAAATTTTAAATAATTGTTATAGATTAAAATGAAATTAGATTAAAATAAAATTAGAAACCTTTTATGCTTATTTTTAAAGCTTATACAACCCACATATAATTTTTTATTAATAATTCTAACTCTAAATCTAATCTTAAAGCTAAAAAAAACTCTCAAAAATATTATCTAAAAAATTTTAAATTTTCTTAAAAATTAAAAAAATTTTATTTTAATCTAATTTTATTTTAATTTGTCACAATAATTAAATAACTATTGTTTTAAATAGAATTCTGTGAAACTTATTTTAATAAAATTAATAATCAACTAATATTTGAATGATTAAAATAAATAAAATATATTATAAACTATATAAATAAACTAATAAATATATAAAATATATAATAGTAATATAAAATATATAATAAAATTTAAAAGGATATATAATAAATATAAATAATAAAAATTTAACTAATAAAAATTGATTAATAAAAATTTAAAATATACTAATAATATTTAACTAATAAAATATAAAATATATGAATAAAATTTTACTATATTATCTAGACCTTCTTTGAAAAATTTTGCTTTGCAAAATTATAAAGAATTATTGTAGTACTAATACTATAATCATGAACTTGTTGGCAAAGTTTGCAGACTATTAGTAGATATTAAACTTATAGCTGCTAGTAATAGTCACAAATTATTACTATTTTATTACAATTTATAATATATTAATTGGTGATTCATCACTTACCTGATGCATGATCATAGTATAATATGATACAGATTACTATATAAATTATATATATTCTGAATATAGTATTCATTTAAGAAAAACTTTTCTTATTAAGTTAATTAGTTTTATTAATTAAATAAAATTATAGAGCTCATCAAGGTACATCTAATGGTGATAAGATCAAAAATGATCTAGTAGTTGTTGAGATATTAGAAAAAAATAATTAGTTGACTATATAAAATTTTTATATAAACAATAGTAAAGAAAAAGATATAAGAAGATTCTAAAAGCTAAGTCTTTGATTGGAAAGGGCAGGTTAAACTGAAAAAAGAAGAAAAGAAAATGCAAGTACAAATAAAAATCCTGGCAATAATCTTTGATTAAAAGAGAAAGTAGAATTATTTATTATTAGAAAATTAGATTTAGATTTAGAATATTGTTTTAAAAAGAAGAATAGTTTAGAAAGAGAAAATTGCTAATTAAATTTAGTGAAAAATTTTTTTTATTTGAAATTATTTTGTTATAGTTTTGCTAGCTAGCTTGGTGTAGCCTTTTGATATAGGCAATAGTCTTAACTAATGTAACAGACCACACTTGGATACCCATAGAGGAAGCCAAGTGATATCAAATCTATAGTTTAAATAGTTTAGAATATACTTATACATTTGTTTTAATCTAATAAAAAATATCAATGAGGCTGCCAATGTATTAAAAAAAATAATAATAAATAATAATAATTTAATAATAATAATAATATTAATTTAAAATAGCCTATAAAATTAGAGTTTTAAAAGCAAGAAATATAGAGTTAAAAGGGTTGTTACAAGAAAGAGCAGCAAGAAATAAAGAGTTAGAAGGATTGTTATAAAAAAGAGTAGTAGCATTTATATTAAAGCTTGAAGATAGGGAGTTTTAGTTAAAACAGGATTATATATGCTAACGAAATTATTTTAGATTTTGAGATATGAAATTAAAATTTGAAGATAAAATTGTTTTGACCTATTTTACTTAAAAGATGAATTTTTGACACTTTTTTTGAAGAGATGAAATTATAAAAAACATAATTACCTAAATTAGATTTGCTCTTGTATATAAAAAATTCCAAATTGCTCTAATAGAGATGAAATAAGATTTTTTAAAAATCTATTTCAGTAGTATATATAAGCAAGATAGGATAGAGAATTAGTGTCAAAATCAAAACTATACAACTTTAGTATTAGAAAGGAATAGATTAAGGTCAAGGGTTGTAAACTTAGAAATTTTGTTGCATATTTCTGTGAATTAAATAATTTTTAATAAAATTTTTATAATTATTTATTATTTTTTATATTGTTCTTTAGTTAATTTTTCAATTATTGAAATACTACTAAATTTTGTTTCAAAAAGTTGTTTAATTCCAACTTTTTGATAAATTAAAAAGACTTTTTGGCTTGATTTCTATCTTTTTGCTAATTTTGTTTTTCCAAATTCTATTGTGAGCTTTGTTCTAATTTCTTTAAAAAACTTTTTATTGATAGTATTTCTATTTCTTAAATCATCTAAGTAATAATTTGCTTCAAGTTTTCTAATATAAACATTCTTTCATTTTCTATATTGTTTAATTTTTAAAATAATTTTGTTAAAAATTTTCAAATCATTATTGTCAATAAAGAGTGAATAAATATTCTCATTATTTTTAATTTTATTATTAAAATTCTTAATAATTTTGTTAATAATAGATTTATCAATAATAGGTTCATTATTATTTTATCATTAGAAATATTAATAATATTTTTTTCTTAATAATTGGTTGTATTATTAATTTCTTTTTCTTGATAAGAATTTAGATTAACAGTCACTTCTTGATAATAATTTACTAAAAATAGGTCCAAAGTATCATTTTGTAAAAAGTTAGACTAAAAATTATTTATTGTAATATTATTATGAAAGATAGAGTATAATAAATAAGATAGAAAAAAATAACTGATATAAAAGTAGAATATAGGATATTTTTATAAGTTTTAAAGAAATATGATATTTGTTATTGTTTGTTTGTATTATTTCATTATAAAATTATTAAAACTAATTTGTAAAACTAATCTTTTACATTTTGTTAAATAACAAAATAAAAATAATAAATTAATATATTATACTAAAACTAAGAAAAAATTAAAAATAAAAATAAAAAATAAAAAGTATAACAAGTATCCTTAAAAATATATAAAAAAATTATAAACAAAGTTAAAATAAATTTAAAAATATTAATTATAAAAAAGTTATTAAATATTGTTTTCAAAAATAAAAAAAATTACTATAGTACTGATATGTTATCATGACCTCTAGGCTAGCAGAGTTAACAAGTTCACTAGTTAGATTCAAATGCATAACTCTACAATGGCTATATGCTTTTACCACTTTACTATAGTAGATATAATTACAAAATTTTTTGTTGTATAGTTTTTAATAGTGCTTAGATTTGTTAAAAAATCCGTTGGATACTTTGATAGATATCCGACTGTTTTAATCTGGTAGATATTTTTTTGATATATCCGTCGGATCATCTGAAATTAGCTTGAATGTGCACTAAGGTTGTATGGTATGGTGCAGGGGTGCTTGAAATAACTGCTGATTAAAATCGTAAGTAATAATGACTAATAATTCAAAGTAATTTAAAGCTTATTTTGATAAATCAGTGATATATTTTGAATAATCAATAAATAAAAAAAGCTTTGTTGATAAATAAATCCTGCTTTGTTATCATTTTCTTGTAAAACTTTTATATACAAATAAAATTAAGATCAACAAAACAGAAGAAACAAAATAACAAATCTCATTAACTCTCTTAATAAAAATGGAAGATATCCTATCTAATGAAAGTTTTAGTGAAAGTTCTAGTAGGATTTCTTTAATAGATATTACAACTACAACAATTTCGCTAGATAATAATCAATTCAAAGAACCAAAATTAAGAGGAGGGTCAAGAAAAAGAAGCTGGATATAGAATCATTATAATGAATTACCTACTGATCATGGGTTCAAGGGTCGATGCAAAGAATTAAAAAAGAATAGATCTCAATGTAACCACATAATTGAAACTGACAGTGGCACAGGAAATTTTAGTGATCATCTTCAAAATAAGCATAGCATTACGAAATTTGGAAAACGTGAATCAGATGTTTCTCAACTAACTAACAATAAAAAACTTTATCAAATAAAAAATAATACCATTTATAAAGAGCAAGTTGATAAAGCTTTGGTTGAATACATAGTTACTGATTCACAACCGTTTTATATATTAGAAAATCCTAGATTTATCAAATATTCATTGGCTCTTGGTCCATCTTACAAATTATCTAGCAATAAAGGAATAAAAAGTAAAATATATTTAGCTTATGATTGGATGTTGGCAACTATTCATAGTAAATTAAAAAATTCGATGAAATATTGTGGATTGACAACGGATTTGTAGATAGCACGATATAACTCGGAATTTATTGGAGTCACATGTTCATTTATTGATCTACAATTTGAAATACATGAACTTATTCTGGCAATATGTGAATTAAGATATTCACATACTGGTTCTGCAATTGCTATGACTTTGAAATCAATTCTTCAGGTGTGGAATATTAATGAGAAGTGTTTTATGATAACTACGGACAATGCTAAAAATATGATAAAGGCAATTAATAAAATCGATGGTATCAATCGGCTTGTATGCAGTGCTCATACTCTACAACTTGTAGTAGGTAAAGGTCTTTTGCCAGTTAAGGTATTGGTTGCATAAGCAAGGTGACTTATACAAATTTTATGTTACCTAAACAAAGCGAACAACTTGAATCAGCACAAGCATTATTAAATTATGTAGTGTGCAATAATATTAATAAAAATCATGAGTATTTACAAGCAATACCTGATGTTGTAACCAGGTGGGACTCTACGTATCTGGCTTGGGTTCAAGTTCTTAAATTAAAGCCTGCTATTGAAATTATGCAAGTAATATTAAGCCATAATAATGATCCTACAACTAAAAAAGATGCACGACATTTTAAACGAATAATATTAACACCAAATGAATGGCAATTAATAGATAATTTGGTTAAAATTTTACAGCCTTTCGCAAATACTACAAAAATGCTTGGTGGAAGTAAATATACCACAATGTCATATATGTTTCCTGCTGGTTTAGAATTTTTATTTTGTTAAAAATTTTTCATTAGATACATGCAGAAGACTACAGCCTGAATTTGTTTCT